CCCTTCGGGGTACCAAGGCTGCTCTCTATAAGGAAGTAGCCTGCCATATCTTTCTCCCTTGGCATGACTAGTGGGTTTCAACCACCTACCTTTACGTTAGCAGTAGAATGCTTCTGTGCCACCAAGCCTCCTTCCAATACTCAACAGGGACACAAGACACTGGTATTCCTTTCTTATTTGGTTCTGATGCTTTGACAACTTTCTCAATAACAATTATTCCTAACATCCTCTCTTATTGATTCATGTACTTGACTTACTTTTTCTACAGAGAGACCACATCCTTTTCTTAAGTTTAGCCTTTTCTGGGTCACGGAAAACCCCTTAAAAGTCTCTCCATCATGGCCAGTCTACAAGTCCCCACTTCCCCTTATTGACAGTGCCCAAGGCCTTATTCAGAATGGAGTCATACGTAGAGGCCCTGACATTCTCTTGGGTTAGACGAGGAACATAAATCCAGCTGACTTACTCCAGCAAGATTTCTCCATCTCAAAGAGGGACTCCTAGTCATATTTTTGTTTTCTCTGGTCTACTAGGCATACTAAGAAACCCAGTGAATTAACATTTCCAAAGAAGCTGAGTTCCTCTCATGAAAGCCACCCTTATATAAACATAAGTACCACCGGGCTCATTCACCAGGCTATGATACAACACCACTTCCCATAATAAGCTTAAATCAACAGTCAGGAATGGGTTAGGGAACTGTTTCAATCACCGAAAGGATGTGCCATTCAGATATTATTTCAAAATAAAAATGGAACCTCATCAAATTGAGAGAACTTGCATTTATTTTATTTTATGACCACAAGGATCAAAGTGTCCGATGCTTGCTGGGAAGCTGTGTTGGGCCCTTCTTTTCCTGACTCCCGATAGTGAGTCAGCCCATTTTATGAACAACTTCAAGCCAAGTAAACGATGAATCGATGCCCGCTAAGCAGGAAAACACGCCCATTTCTCACTAAAAATCGCAAAGGGTGATAAACCTGGTTCCGTTAAGAAAACCACTGGAGTTTATGTTGGGGGCTTTCCCAGTCAAACAGAGGAGAAGATCTATAAACTCAAAGCGGAAGGTAAGCACATTGGCTTCGAGTGTTTTCAGGTTGGACATGAAGGCAAACATGATGAATAACTCTGGGCCGTTTTATGTCATCCTCATCCCCAAGGCAGATCGGAAGAGAACCCACCTCACACACCAGGTCCCAGCTGGGCTGGCACAGAGACAGAAACATAGCCTTTGGGAAGAGCCCAAACAAGGCCACTTCTTTCAGTCTCCAGAGTTCCATCTCCTGTCCCTTCCTCCATGTGCTCCCTTCATAATCATTCACCTAACCCACTTCTGTGATCATCTACAATTTCCTCTGGCTTCCAGACTCAAATCTCATGGCCAAGTGCCAACAACAATGATGGCTTCATGCAGTCTACCTTACTAGATGTTTTATCTACTTTTAAAGAAACAAAACTGACTCCTAGAGACCCTTTGGTATAGACTGTATCTCAATGAAAAGAAAACAAAAATCTTCACCACTGGACCAATAAACAGCATTCTTATCAACAGAGAACAGATTGAAGTTGTCAAGGACTTCATTCTTCTTTGATTAACTATCAACACTCATGGAAGCAGCAGTCAAGAAATCAAATGATGCATTGCATTAGGCAAATCTGCTGCACAAAACCTTTTTAAGGTGTTGAAGAGCAAAGACGTCAGCTTGAGGACTAAGTTGCACCTGACCCAAGCCATGGTATTTTCAATAACCTCATATGTATGCAAAAACTGGACAGTGAATAAGGAAGACCGTAGAAGAATTGGTGTTTTTGAGTTATGGTGTTAGAGGAGAATATTGAAGGTGCCATGGGCTGCCAAAAGAACCAACAGATCTGTGTTGGAAGAAGTGCAGCCAGAGTGCTCCTTGGAGACCAAGATGGCCAAACTTCGTCTTTCATACTTTGGACATATTGTCAGGAGGGAACAGTTGCTGGAGAAGGATATCATATTTGGTAAAGTGGAAGGTCAGAGAAAAAGAGGAAAACCCCAGAGAGATGGATTGGCCAAGTGGCAGCATCAATGGGCTCAAGTGTGGCAACAATTGTGAGGTTGGCCCAGGATCGGGCAATGTTTCATTCTGTTGTGCAGTGGGTTGCTATGAGTTGGTACTGACTAGATGGTCCCTAACAACAACAACAGAGACCCTAGAGGGCAGAGTACAATTGCCCCCAAGGGTTTCGAAGGCTGTAATTTTTACAGAAACGAACTGTCACATCTTTCTCCTACAGAGAAGCTGGCGGGTTCGAACTGCCAACCCTTTGGTTAGCAGTGAAGTGCTTTAACCGCTGCCCCACCAGGGTTCCTTGTGTTGCCGGCATTATGTGCTATAGAGTGGATCCGTGTCAAAGTGATGTTGCACACAACAGAAGGAAACCTGCCTTGTCCTGCGCCATCCTCACAATTGTTATGTTTGAGCCTACTGTGCTGTCACTGAGCCGATCCACTGTGCTAGGACCTGGGGGGAGGCTCTTATAAGGACCCTGGACTAGGTGGCTCATCTTTTTTAATCTCATTTGTTCACACCTTTAAGCTAAAAACCCCAAACACTTAACCATAAAAGTTTATTGTACTTCACGGTGACCCTATAGGACAGGGTAAAACTGACCCCTAGGGTTGTCAAGGCTGTAATTTTCATGGAAGCAGATGGCCATCTGCTTGTTGGAAGTCAAGTGCTTAGCCACTGTGCCACCAGGGCTCCTTTACCTGATTTCGTGCATTTAAAAAACTATCTGCTGTTGAACTGACTTCAACTCATGGTGCCCCCGTGTGTGTTAAAGTAGAACTGTGCTCACAGGGTTCTCAGTAGATGATTTTTCATAAGTAGATCCCACTCATGGTGCCCCCGTGTGTGTAAGAGGAGAACTGGGCTCTACAAGGTTCTCAGTGGATGATTTTCCATAAGTAGATCCCACTCATGGTGCCCCCGTGTGTGTCAGAGAAGAACTGTACTCCACAGGGTTCTCAGTGGATGATTTTTCATGAGTAGATTCCACTCATGGTGCCTCATGTGTGTCAGAGGAGAACTGGGCTCCACAGGGTTCTTAGTGGATGATTTTTCATGCGTAGATTCCACTCATGGCACCCCATGTGTGTCAGAGTAGAACTGAGCTCCACAGGGTTCTCAGTGGGTGATTATTCATAAATAGATTCCACTCTTGGCACCCCGTGTGTGTCAGAGGAGAACTGTGTTCCTCAGGATTCTCAGTGGGTGATTTTTCATGAATAGATTCCACTCATGGTGACACCATGTTTGTCAGAGTAGAACTGTGCTCCACTGGGCTTTCAATGGCTGCATTTTCTGAAATTGGTCACCACATCTTTCTTCCGAAGTTTGTTTTCCGCTGACCTGTAGTTCCCACTTGCTTCACTTCACGTATGGCGCCGTCTAATCACTAAACTCCTTTCTCTATAATGTGATTCTGACTATGTCTTAATAATGAGCTTCTATTGGTTCTTTGCTTCCAGTAGGGTAAAGGGGGAAATCCTTAGCATAACACACATGGTTCAACATAAGTCCTATTATCTGATTTCACCATCCATGTATACCCTGGGTTCTGAGTCACCTGCACCTTCTTCAATGTGTCCTTAATCCCCACATCTTGTGTTTGTTCTTGGCTGCCTGCTATGCAGGTCCCTGGTAACCCAGCTGGAAAAGCCTTTAGACATCCTTCCACAGCTAGATTGCTGTTTTTCTTTCCCTTACTCCTTCAGACAGAGATAGGGATGTATGTCCTCTTTGGGGCTCTTGTGGTGTTTGTTCTGACTCCCCAGCACATCTATACTTGATTTTCCTGCCTAGTCTTCTAAGAGCAGGACCATGTTTTAATAATGTCTGAATCCTCCAGAAGCCAGCCCAGTGCCTGGCATGTAGCCTATAATCAACGAACATATCACAAGTAAATAGGATTGATAAATGTTGGCTGCTGCCTTGACTCATGGCAACCTGGGCACAACAGGACCAGACTGTTGTAATCTGTAGGATTTCATTAGCCGATTTTCAGAAGGTGAGCACCAGGTCTTTCTTCCATCACAGCCTCGTTGTGAAATGCTGTTGAGTCAATACCAACTCATAGCAACCCCATGTGACAGAGTAGAACTTCCCCCTAGGGTTTCCAAGAAATGCAAGAGGGGCAGGGTTCTGTTCTGGTTTGTGGTCCATCAAAACCCATGTAAGAGGGACCAGGGAACAGAGGCAGGACAAGAATGACCTCCAGAACGAATTCATTCAGAAGTAAAACTATAAAGAATATATTTTCTCTAAACCCTTCAGGAAGGTGATGTCATTGTTGTTGCTAAGTACCCTCGAGCTGGGTCCAGCTCCTAACGCACAAAAAAGAACAAAACACTGCCCAGTCCGACAACGTCCTCACAATCATTATTTGAGCATATTGTTGTTACCACTGTGTCAACACATCTCATGGGTGGTCCTCCTCTTTTTGACTGACCCTCTACTTTACCAAACATGATGTCCATCTCCAGGGAGTAGCTGGGACTGACAGCAAGGCAAAATATTTTGTGGGCAGCCCCCTTTCTGTTGGAGCATACAAAACTCCATGCTCCTGGTGTTGTTAGCCTAAGTGACAGATTGCCACTTTAAATGTGGTAAGCACTTCACCTTGATGGCCACACCTCCAAACCCTAGTTCCCCAAACAGACAGAGCGGAGGTGAAAACACAGGCAAATGCTAATGTCTTTCCAGCAGCCATACCTTTCCATAGGCTCTAGTCAGTACCTTCTCTATGTGCCCCCCGCCCCCCACCCCCTGGCTCACAGAAAACAGACCCAGTAATGAGCTACTTGCTGTGCACGCTTTGTGTGTGTGCTTTTAAAAATGTCACCTTTGGGTAAAACTCAACCCACTATCAGATTATTAATAAAATTCAGCAACTGTCAGATCCTTTCTCCTCGCAGAGAGGCTTGGCGGCAACACCTATTAGGAGACAGAGACAGATGGTCTTACCTCTCAGCTCCCGAGTCCACAGCTGCGAGTGGAGGTAACTGGGAGGGGGGGTGGTGGGGGCTCCCCTGTACATTATGTCCCGGAGAAGGGTGACTGACAGCATGTGGGGGTGGCCCGGCCCCGGCAGCTGTTCCGCTTCGGCTCGAGTGATTGCTGGAGAAGAGAGGAGCTGAAATCAAGAGAAAACAAGCATCAGACCAGGTTCCAAACAGAGCCACAGTTTTCAGAGGCAAATGCTGACAGCAGACATATTTTAAGGCTTGTTTGTTTTTCTCCTGGTGGCTTTAAGGGGACCTTTCTGCCCTTCTTGGCTACATATGGTATTTGTTTTCCTGGAGGGACAGGTTTCTGGGCTCCCGGGCCACCTCAGAGCCACACATTCCACTTCCTGTTGCCTTGGCCTGCCAACCCCGAGTATGGACAGTGTATAATTAGCCAGTCTCATCGTGTTTGCATCTGGACCGAGGTTGCCCTGTCAGAGCTTCTCAGTAATGGGGAATGAGAGGTCAGGAACCAGAATATTCTACCGGTTGGTTGGGAAGGGCCCAACACCTGACTTCTTTCTCTTTTTACTACCCCAATGAGCTGATATGGGACAGCCGGGATCTCTCCTCTGCCCCCATGCTGCTGAGTCTTCGTGACAAGAGCAGAGCTTCCCTGTTCCAACATGCTTTTAACTTACACATCTAAGGGACCTTCCTTGATCTTGTTGTGAAAAAGACTTGGTCTCCATCCAAAGTGGATCTGCTCACCTCAGTCACTTGGCATAATATAGTCCATAAAGTGTATGTTCCAGATCTTACATATGGAGTCTTAAAAGTGTCTGAGCAGCATCTATGATACAATGATTGGTCTCTTCTCATCCAAGGCAAAAGATAACAAAGGAAATTAAAGACTCAGAGAAGAAACCACTCTATAGGGCAAGTGGTCTACACAAAGCAGAGTCTCATCTACCCTGAGACAAGAAGGACTAAATGGTGTCCGGTCACCGCTACCAACTGTTCTGATCAGGGCCTCACAGATGGGTTCTCACAGAATGGATCAAAAATGTAGACTAGAACCTCAAATTATAAAACATATTTGTTGTTGTTGTTGTTATGTGCCATGGAGTTGGTTCTGACTCACAGCGACCCTGTACAGGGTGGGTTTCCAAGGCTGTAAATCTTTATGGGAGCAGAAAGTCTCATCTTTCTCCCACAGAACAGCTGGTAGTTCCGAACTGCTGACCCTGAGGTTAGCAGCATAGTGGTTACGAATCGGGCTGCGAACCACAAGGTCAGCAGTTCAAAACTACCAGCTGTTACGTAAGAGAAAGATGAGGTGTTCTGCTCCCGTGAAGATTTACAGCCTCGGAAACACTGTACAGGGTCGCTATGAGTTGGAACCGACTCCACAGCACACAGCCACCACCATGCTACCAGAGCTTCTTATACACAACCAAAAAGACACATACACACAACCAGACTTACCAAAGTCGGTTGAGACAGCACGACTCCCTGTGACTATTACCCTGGATACTCTTTAAACCCCCAATAATGAATATCACCCATAACCTCTATGAGACCAAATGATTGACAGTTTCTATAAAACAAAGGACCAGGGATACTAGATGAATGGAAACGGAACAACCAGAAAGGAAGTCATGAGAAGACTGTAACCAATGCCACTAAATAATTTGTGCAGAAATGTTGAATGGAAACTTAATCTGCTATGCAAACTTTCATTAAAAACACAATGAAATAAGATTTTATATAAATGAGTTTTCTGAAAATACCACAAAATATGAACCTGTGTCTCAAAAACACCTCCTCCCACTGTGGCTTCATACAACATGGAGAATGAAGGCTGGCCTGAGCCATAGGGACAGCCTTGCCTTGAGAACTGTACGTGACCTCATGCTTAAGTGTGTGGCCAGGAAGATGGGCTGACTGGTCAGATGTCACCTCAGAAACCCAAGCTTGTCACTTTCCAAATTTGTGAAGAGGTTCTATCAAATTTTGGATTCACACACCAGGCATTTTTTTAGTCAGTAAGCAGACTGTGTAACTATACTGATTACTTTTAACTTCCTTCCAGGGATGAAGCTATGCTGCCCTCTGTACCGCCCCATTCTCTTTGAACTTACTCCCCCAATATCAAAGAGTAAATGGGTTAAAAAAGAGAGAAAGAAATCAGGTTCAGGACTAAGAAAGAGAGAAACCACATTATCAAAAAGATTTTCAGGTTGAAAAGTTCAGAAAACTGTATTTTTAGACTAGTCCCAGTTTTCTCCACCCTCTCCAGGATAGAATTAAGACCCCAGGTGACCCAGCCCCCAAAAGCTTAACCCAATGGAGCAAGAGTTCATGTACTTAAGGGTTGGGTGAAGAGGCAGTGTTACCGCGTGCCCTCTCCAAAAGGGACTGGCGGGTGTGATGTGAAGACTTTATTCCTGGCAGATTGGCATTCTGTCGGATTAACTCTTGTCCTCAGACACCCGCATCCCACACAGCCCTCCATGTCCCGAATAGGTCGGTCATGGTGCTAGAAAATGCTTACCAGCCCCAAAAGGCACAGCAGGGTTTCTTGTGCGTCAGCTTCAATAAAAGTTGCATGTTTGCAAACTTGCTAGAGTTGCCTTATGAATCACTACCCTCATTTATGTTCAGCTAGCTTGGGGAACCACAATTCTGCTTGTATTCCAAATAATAATTTACCCAGGGGAAGAGGTTTTGGATTGACTGTGGCAATAGTTTCAACACTGGTGTTTGTCAGCATGGAGCTAAACGGTGTATGTATCATTCAAAAACCTAATGGAATAATAAGAGGTCACAGAGACATGGAGAAAACATAGTTAGTCCCACCCCACCGTACTGTAGAAACGTGAGCTCTCCTATTTATTGGTGTTGGAGTTGTTGAATGCACCCATCAGATAGATATTCTACCCTGGAGGCAGGTGTGTGTGTGTGTGTGTGTGTGTGTGTGTGTGTGTGTGTGTGTGAGTCACAGAAGAAGCACAATCGTACTGCCCACCGGGAACCACTACATCACAGTTCTTCAGAAATTGTGGTGCTTCCCAGGAGTCTACAAAAGTCCTGTCATGTTCATTGGCAGTGGCTGCAATGAACTAGGCTGCAAAGTTTGATGCTCTGGTATTGTGGTGGTTACGAATTGGGCTGCAAACCGCAAAGTCAGTAGTTCGAAACTACCAGCTGTTCCGTGGGAGAAAGTGAGGCTTTTCTGCTCCCATAAAGATTTACAGCCTCAGAAATTCTGTGCAGGGTCGCTATGAGTCGGAACGACTCCACGGCACATAAGATTTCTCTGTCATCCCATCCACCCACCTACCCAACACCCACCTAATCACCTAAATTTCATCCAATCATCCATCCATCCATCCATCCACTCACCCACCTTTTCATCCATCCATTCATCCATCCATCCATCCATCCATCCATCCATCCATCCATCCATCCACTCACCCACCTTTCCATCCATCCATCTGTCCACACACCAATTCATCTACTCATCTACCATTTCATCTATCCATCTGTCTCTCCACCCACCCATTCAACCACTCACTTATATTTCCATCCACCCATCCACCTATCTGCCCATCCCTCCACTTACCCACATTTCCATCCATCTATCTCATCCACTCATCTTCCAATCATCCTTTAAAAAAAATATTTTGTTTTTGTTGAAAACATATACAACAAAATGAACACTAATTCAACAGTGTCTAGATATACAGCACAATGACACTGGCCACATTGTTTGAGTTGTGCAATCATTCTACCCTCCTTTCCTGAATGACCCCTCCTCTAGTAACACAAACTCACTGCTCAAGCCCTTCTTCAACTGTTTGAGTCACTGTTGTCAATTTGATTCCATTTTGTTGTTGTTGTTAGGTTCCATCGAGTTGGTACTGACTCATAGCGACTCTCTGCACAGCAGAACAAAACACTGCTGGATTCTGGGCCAACCTCACTATTGAGCCACACTCGAGCCCATTGATGCTGCCACTTTATATATAGAAAGATCTTAAAATAACACAATACTCAGGGCATGCATTCTTTACAAGTTAAGCTAAATTGTTGTTTGGTTTTTAAGAAGGGTATGTTTTTGGTTTAAGTTTTAAGGTTTAAAGATTATTTCAGGGTAAAGTTTTGGATGGCTTTAGAAAGTCTGAATTCCATGAGAATTTGAAGTTCTGTTCTGCAGTATATCTCTTTAGATCAAAATTCTGCTTTAGATTAAAAAAAAAAAATCCAACTGTTTAGTAGTGGTAGCTGGGCACCATCTAGTTCTTCTGATCTCACGGAGAAGGAAACAGCTGTTTATGGAAGCAATGAGCCACACATTCCTTATTCTCCTCCTATTCTGACCCCTCTCCCCAGAGTGATAAGGCTCACAAAAGAGCTATAAAAATCACAAAATATCTATAAGATCTTGCTAAACTGTAAATTCTGACTTGACCTATGGTATGGAAAGGCAACTTCACAGCAGTGGGTCAAAGTGGAATGAACTGATGTGAAGTCCTGCTCAGTGTGCAGGATTGACTGTGCCTGTCACATCACAGAACTGTGGCACCTCCCATGTGATAATGAGCTAGGTGCAGGTATAAGAGAGCGGCACGACATTATTGGCATTTGGTTTTCTGATCAGCATTAATTCATGTCCCTTTGTCAGGTGAACAAAGGTGAACAAAAACTACCATCTGATGGAATCCGTTGTGTGGTCCAGTGAGGGGAACCTGGACAGGGACAAAGGGTATATTCTCCCACCAACTCTGTCTCCATTCATTAAGGAACCCTGGTGGTGCCATAGGACAAACACTGGGCTGGTCAGTGGGAGAAAGATGTGGTAGGCTGTTCCCGTAAAGATTTACAGCCTCGGAAACTGATACAGGGTCTCTGAGAGTCGGAACTGACTCCATGGCAGGGGCCTTGGTGTCTCGTTCAGGGTTGTTAGGGTGTGAAGTCTCTTGCGCTTCCATGTTAGTGCATGTACCAGGGTGGCAAAGGGGTCTTACAGATGCCCCACCCTGAGCCACACAGAAGCCCTTAAAGCACAAAGCAGAGGAACAGGGACAGTCCAGGGGAAATGCTGTCATATTATATCTGGTGCAGCTGGTTGGAATAGGTGGCGTGGAGGATGAGGTGGGACTAGGAGCTCAGGACATTGAGT